ACATATGCGCTATTCTTACACAATGAGCAACTCTGCAAGGACAATAATATAAGTAATATAAGATTCCCCCACCTGAACAAGTTTCAGCAATCTCTCTTCAAGTTCCAAGCTTTCCATTTAGGAAAAGCATTTCCCTCCCTGTTGCACCAAGTCATACACAATTGGTTTGCTGCATCTCAACAGCCCCCTTCAGAGCAACACCAGTATAATCATTTTGTTTGTAATGCATTTCCATGGGTAAAACAGACTAGAACAAAGCAAACACTCTGCAGTTGGAAACAGGAATTCAATCCCACAGCTCAGTCCACCATGGTTATATTTAGTATTGAAGCTTTTGCCAGAACAACAGTGATACCTCACATTACCACTACCATTAACCATGACCAAAATTACATAAAAATAAATTATTAAAAATTCACCATTTTATACCAGACCACAGGCCCTGGAATTTTACACCAGATCTGGTTGTATTATAGACCAGAACTAGTTTCCAGAATTCTAGGAATGAAATGTCACAGAACTATGCTTTCACAGCCTTTACTTCATGCAGTAATGACCACTGCCCTATCTCCCAATGACATTGAAGCATTCCTGATGCTTTCTAACTAGCCACAACAACCAGTGAAAAACAGATTTCACTGCAAGTTCCTCCACTAAACTGCAGACTTGTTACATGCTCATATAAATAAGCAGTAGAATTTTAACTACCTGTTCTCCAAGGTAAAGGTGACATTTTAAGGGCAAAATAATTACACGCAATTCAGCCCTTTTCCCTATGCCTATTCATAGGATCATTTAGAAGGCAGTGTGTACTGGGTCTGGCTGAGATGGAGTTAATTCTCCCCACAGCAGCCCTCACAGAGCTGTGCTCTGGAATGATTGCTGGAAAGGTGCTGCTGATACCCCCATGTTTTGGCTCTGCTGAGCAGGGCTGGCACAGCATCAGTGCCATCTCCCCAAAATTCACCAGTAGGCTGGATGTGGGAGGTATCTTCTGGGGGGGACACAGCCAGGACAGCTGACCTAAACTGACCACAGGGATATTCCATGCCATATGAGGTCAGCTCAGATATAAAAGCTAAATTAAAAGGGGAGGAAATGGCAGGGGAATATTTATTATTTACAGCATTTTCCTTTCAGAGCAACTGCTTCCTGGGAAGTGACAGAACATCACTTGCTGATGGGAAGTAGAGAATAAAATAATTCGGTCTGGGTTTTTTTTAACCTTTTCTTGCACATGCACAGTCTTCACTTTTTCTTTATTAAAATGCCTTTACCTTGACCTAAGAGGGTTCATCCTATTGTCTCCTCTCTGTTCTGCTGCGAAGGGGAGTGATGGAGCAGCTTGGCAGGTACCTGGTGTCAAGCCAAGGTCAACCCACTGCACAACACTAACGTAGACAGCATCACTTCAGTAGTTTTGTAGTCTACTTATGCAGCTAAAATTACATAGGCCCAAGGCATCTGAAATGGCCAGAGCAAACCAGCAGAATGGCCCAAAAGGTCAAAGGTCTGGTCTGAAACTGAAGGCCATGTAAGACAACCATTGGTATGGTATTTTCAGCTAAAGCACAGACTGGAAGGAATCTGTTTATCTGTTTGTATATCAGTTTCAACCTGTACAGGAATATCAATTACTTTTCAAGGATAGCTCTCACCTTGTTATTTCAAAAGTGAGGAGCGATAGCAGCATATGCTGATTTTCTTATCTTTCTCACATAAAGTCACAATTTAAAATAAACACTAACCTTGCATCTCACAGAGAAAAGGACATTTATTCATCAGAATTTTTAAAGGTGTGAAATTCAATTTAATAATAATAATAGGTATATTAAATAACAAAGCTTTAGAAAATATATGTAATTAGGTGAGAACATGGTCATTTAAGCAGATATTTCTATTGAATCTTTGCTAGACTCCATGCTTGTCACTGAATTAGATGTTGTCCCATGGTATGCATTATAAATGAGGCAATTCATTTCATGAGGTTTATAACCAGTGACTGGAATTATAATCAACAATATATATTAGTGCCTTTTAATATCTATAATATTTTGGAGCTTATTATGAGTTCACGCTAGTTGCATGTGACAGTAACTCCCCTGTCTTTGTACAGACTCCTGATTTATGCTGGGGTACACACAAATGAAGTCTTCAAATTTATATGAAATATTTTAGTGCTTAAATATGTTTTTAATGTACACAGTATTGTGTGCCTTAAAGCACCAAGTATCTTTTGCATACTACAAGGCATTTGTCGAAAACAGAGAAGTGGGATTACTTTTGTTTTTAAATGGCTATCATAATTTACAAACTGCAGTCCTTCCATTTGCATAAAGCTGAAGGTCGTTTACTCCCTTAGCCCCCAGAAACAGCATAGGAATGAGATTATTCTCTTTTTCCTTTCTGAAGTTACATGCTGCAATACATGCAGCAGTCCTGTCTCTCTTCTGCAAGTTTGATTAAAAAAAATAAAATACATCTTTTCCTAAACCTACCATTGAATCATACCAAGAAGTTTTTCCCACTTCCCTCAGCAGGAAATACCCCCACCTCCAACAGCTGTAATCATTTAAAATGCATCACAGTAATCTTATCCCATAGGTATCTACTGAAATTTTCTACCATACGTATCAGATGCGTTCTCCAGTCACATGTCAAAGAAATGGTAAAATTATACCTTAAGTGCCACAAAAGCATCAAGAAAGAATTTCTGCAAAGTCAGAATCCCTACAGAAGCTTGCTGGGGGTGGGAATTGTTTTATGTGCAACATTTAGACGTTGGGTCTCATCTAAATTTAGAGAAAAGCAGGGTTTCTTATTGACAGGAAATGCCAGACTCAGGACAAGTGAGACTAAAATATAGAAGTATTTGCCTCTATACAAACCAGAAATGTAAAGAGAGACCCAGTCATATTGCCCAGGGAAGACCTTCTGCAGTCCAGAATCTCAGTGACATTAAGCCTTGCTAACTTTTCTTCTCCTCCTTAAATATCTGCTGCTATATTAAGTGATATTCTCAGTTTTCTTGCTCAGATACATAGGCTCTTCATACCTACAGCTTTCAATCAGCATCATTATGCATACTGTCCCAGAATCACTGACCTTGGAAACTCTTCCCAGGTTTGCCATTCCTTAAATCCTGCCTCTGAGGTCTCCAAGGTCCCTTCTATAGAGACAAGGCCAAACTATGTGAAACCCAATCTCATCTGGTTCCTGGCATGGGAGCATAAAGCATGGAAATTCTAGCTGAGCTATCCAATCCAACAGCTCTGCAAAACTTGCCATTCCCAAGAGAGCCTGCTTAGCAGGTTAGCTGCACAGTGGCACGATCTGGAATCCTGACAAGCAGAGTGCCACAAGACTGATGATGCAAGGCTTTCAAGATACTCAGCTCAAAGGCAGAACTAAGAAGTAGAAAACTCTGACCTTAACACCACGAGAGTTCACGTCAATCCTATCTCAGATTCTGCTGAACGGAAATCCCACTGCTCTAAAAATGTTACAAAGAAAACATTCCTGGCTTAAGAAGGTAACATTCCTCTGAACACGTCCAGTTTCTTCTGTTTATCTCTAAATATTTGTCCACACTCAGCAGCATCTTGGCTCAGCGTGTCATCTTCTGGACATTGATCCACTAGGCTGATTAGAAGAGAGACAGAAACAAACTTTTGCTAACAGGAAAAGTTTTCCAAAAAATAACAAAGGATGGAGCTGAGCTTCAAATGCTCTGTTCAACTAAGCTCCAGCCAAAGCTTTCAGGTACAAGACTGGTTATTTCACACAGCTGTGAAACAAGGAACAACAAGAACAACATTCAGTAGTTACTTGGGGATTATAAGAAATCCAGCATGTTTCAACCATTAATCATATTCTTACTAAGGTGCTCAATACAACACCTTATTGTGACAGCTGGAAGCATGGGGAATCCTAACTTTTGAAGAATATTTTGACTTGATGGGATATAAAAATAGTTTTAAAACTATGCAAAGTATAGCAGAACCACATACACTCAAAGAGAGCTGATTTCTACTATTGCAAATAATTATATTGTCTAGGCCACTGAAATATCACGTTCAAACTCTTAGATAGAAAAAGACATTGATTTGGATTCTCATCACAATAAGCATAAATCTAGCTTCAGTTTCTAAGCACTGAAGCCAGAGTTCCTGCATAGCAGCACCAAAGCAGCACAAGTGCACCCATCAAACCAAAAGTGTACCTATCCCACCAAAATTCTTTAACCTCTCCTGTCTTGAAAGCTACAGTTGAGAAATGAAAATAAACCACTCCATAATCACATAGCAGGAATCCATAACAATGTCAACATTTTAAACTGAGAATCTGAAGGGCAAGACTTACTCAGCATGAAGACAAAGGCTGAAAAACCTATACTATACAGGAGAAGATACACAAGACAGAAGGCTCAGCACATCTGTTTCATATGTGGAGGCAAGGTGTAGAAAGAATAAACATTTCTGGTTTTTTTAAAAGCTTTGCAGCAAGTCCATGATCAGTCTGAAACAGGATGAATATAAAAACACTGAAACTTCATACTTAAACATGCAAGGTCAGTTGATAAGGAAAACACAGAAGGTGTTAAGCCATGAGCCAAGAAAAACACTCTCTTTCAAGCCGGAGATCTAGGAGGAAAGAGGAAAAAAAAAAAAAGTGGGTGAGTAGCCACTGTAAAAAGTGAATAGCAACACAAAAACATTAACATCTTGGCCTTAAAAAAATTTTACAGCATGGCCACTGGCATTCAGCAAAAAGAAAAAAAACAACATATCACTGTAGAGTCATAAATAAATTGCTGAGATATCAACTGAGGTGAAGGCCTTCTTGAAGAATACAAAAAAGGCCAAAGGCTATAGACTTGTCACATCAAACCAGGGAAAGTAGCCCTAGAAAATAGACTAATAAATGATAAGTAAAGAAAAAGCATGAGGTACTCTTTCACGTGACTTTCTGACTTGGACAGAAATGCCAAAGGACTTTGAGAAAGGGGATTTAATTCTTTGTAAACCACCATGTTTGGATATTTCTGATGTCTCTTTGTTTGCTTCCTCCTTGAAACCTTCCACCTCCAACTTGTATTATTTACCCTTACCCACACTGACATCTGTCAGCTGGGTTCTCAGAGCAATTTAACTGGTATGTCCTCAACTGGCCAGTCATGCTCAAAAGGACACCACTGTTCCCCAAGTTCCTCAGCTATTCCCTAGGCACAAACACAGCTATTCACTCACCACATTCATATGTGGCTGCTGCTGCACTGTGCTTGATTCTCCACTACAGATTTCCAGGAAGCAATCTCACAGCTGAGCAATCATGACTCCCAGCGCAATAAAGTGCCACACTTGGCTCCCTTCAACAGATAGTGCCTTCTCCACAGCATCTAGAGAACAAGCAAGGGTGTTCTTCATATGAAACATGCATGGAGGAATGGACCACCAATGCACACCCTAGAGCCTGTATTTTTTTTAAGTTTTACTCTTTGCCCCTTAAAACAGAAACCAGCAGGAGAGCATTTAGCAGCATTTGAAACATGAAAAGCAGCAGATTTTATATGGTTTGTAAAAGTCACAGAAATGCAGATATTTTGCCTCACAGGAAACCTATCTGTGCTAAAAGAGCTACAGAGTAAGCTATTCTCAAAATGTACACTGAAAGGAAGTTTGCTGGTTTCAGTACTCACAGGCCCTATAAATGAGATTCGGTTCTTGATACCTGGAATTGAAAATACAAGCCACTGTAAGACTTGCAGTCATAAGAACACATTATAGGAGAAGAGACTGGTGTTCTGGCAGAGGTATCTGATATGATATGAAACTTCAAAATTAGTAAGGAAGTCCAAATCATCCCATACAGTAAAATACCATTCAGAAGCCCCCCCATAAGAAAAACTGTACACAGTGAACTACTTTTGACTGTACAAGATAAAAGCTTCTTTTTAAATTTTTTACAAAACTTCTTTTTCTTCTGAAACTTCTTTCAAAATACTCTTGAACTGGTTAAGAATCCTCCTCAAGTCCCAGATGCAGAGTTAACGTAGAAGATTTTCTCTTCAGCTGTTATAATGCAGAACATAAGGATCCAAGAAAGGTTTTTCAACCTTTCCATGGAATAGGAGTCTCTATCACTCTGTATCCATTTCAGGAAGATGATTCTGCAAACAAGCCTGTGAACACCTATCTCCATTCAGATGAATAGTGACAGTGAAGTCCTGTAACAGAGGAAGGTATGTCTTTCTAAACCAGGAAGGGGAAACAGGGCTACTGCAGTCACCATACATATTTGCCTTGAGTGTTTTGAATAAAAGAGAAGGCTGTATTGAGACATGCCTTTCATAACTACATTCAAAGAACTGCTGCTTTGATCCAAGTCCATCCTGTACAGCTCCCACTGCTTGCATATCCAAGTTCCTGGTGATACACAGAAACAGCACAGATCCCTTTCCCTGTGTCAGACTCAGATGAGTTTTTTGGGGTGGTGGAACCCAGCAGCATTCTTCATCAGTTTCCCACTCTCTGCAAAGGGGGACTTGTTTGATTTTCTACAGCATCAGGAAAGGATATAACACAAACAGTACTTCTTCAACTGGAGTGCCCTGTGATCACCCACTTACAAACATTCAGGTCACTTACCTCTCAGGTATTTGTGTAGATCTAGAAGAAGAGGGCTTCTGATTTTGTAAGCCCATGCACAGGGTACAGAGTTCATCAGCAGCCATAGGGCAAGATCACACACTTTTAAATGAAGGCCAAAGACTAATTCTGCTCTCACTGTGGTAAAATAAAAAAAACCTAAAAAAAACCAAAAAAAACCCCTCCCTTCATTGATTTCACAATGTTTCCAATTATAGCCTTTCATTCTATTATCTGCCTTCAGTCCCAAAAAGTATATCAATCACATTTGATAGTATCTGCACAAAATTTTAAGGGCTGTAGAGACCTTTCTAGTGATTTTCAGATAGGCATCTACAATGAACACAGACAATCACCTCCCCCTGAGTTACACCAACTGAGCTCTCCAATATTAGTATATATAACCCAGGTTATTGTTACCACGAGAAAAAGGCCTAAAGACTGTAAAAGAGACTCCATGATTTTATTGGTTTCCAAAAACACTCTCAGGAATTTTGTCATAGCTTCATATTTTATTACTACAACCTTAATTTGGAATAAGCAAGACCAATAGCATAACTACAAAATCTCTATATTCTAAATACCATGCTAACAATTGGCCTCCCTTACAAGATTAACTTTCTAGAGATATTCAGCATAACATGGAATTGTATGCATTTCAAAACCTAAGGAAACCCCGAATCCATTATAAAAGACACATATTCTAATGCACATCATCCAATATGAAATGTATTTGCAATAGATGGCTTTTTCTTCAGAATTAGGAGGTGGGTTATGTATCAAATACTACAAAACAAACACAACAATTTTTTGAAACACAGTAAGATAAAGTTTAGCAGCTTCAAAACTGGAAGAACATGGCCCCTTTCCTTAAACACTCCTGTTGTTGTAATAGAACAGGTTGTACTATGTTATTAAAAAACAAAGTTGGATTTTACAAACCAATCTTTTCTGAAATTTATTACCTACCTTCTCTTTCATGTGAACGCTAGACTTTCTAAAACAGCCCTTATTCTGCTGCTATAGTATTGAGTACTCTCACTTACATCTAAAGGTCTGAACTCTACAGTTTTCACACAGCTACTGGTGAGATAAACCCATAGCTGACTAGAACTTCTGCTGCAGTAAGACAAGCACCATCTACCCCAGAAAGTAACAGAAATTAAATCAGAACTAATTTAAGGACACAACAGAGAGGGGAATCACAAAGGTGCTTAAAACATTGGTTTGCCCTTCACCGTGTTTGGTGAACTGCGTTGCAGAGGTTTTTAATGAGGATTGATGACCAGCTGGGGTTAATGGCCCTCAGCTGCACCTCAGGCCATTAACTCCTCCCTATCAGTTATTAATCCCCAGGAAGTACCCTGTACCTCTCTCCTTATTGCTTAATCATAAGTAGTAAGAGATGATCAACCAGTCAAGATCCTAGTGTGGTGTGAGTGCTCCTGTTCCTGCCTTTTCACACAGCATGTCTTGTGCTTTAGAGCAAACTATTTAGATACTATCACACTGAGGTCACAAAAGGATGAAGAAATACATGTGACAGTGGGAAAATAAACATTTTATATCTGCTGACTGCATTTCACATTTCTTCTTTAGAATAAACATAATATTTATAGCTTGTATACTTTGTGAAATTACACAAATCTGTCTGTAGTCCCACTGCTATTAGACTACTGGGGACTTTTTTTTTGCAGCTCTAGAGCATATGATGGGGCCAGTGCTCTTATTACTGCTGATTTTAAAGCAAGAAAGTATCAAGCAGATGTTGTTAAATTATAGCCTGAGAAGTAAAAGCCCCATGGTTAGATCAAGACACTGCACCCAAGAGGCCTGTGGAAGTACAGAATCACAGGGCTGGAGCACTGTGCTTTCCTTTGGAAAACGCACTGCTCAAAGGAAAGTCAATCCATCCCTACTCCTGCTTTTCCCTACCCATTGAAGCAGTGGTTTGGCCCAGTCTCAAACCCATATGTCAGCAAAGGATGATCAGAGAATTTGTGCCTGGAGCAAATATAAAAGTAAGAACACTACCTTTATGTTTTAATTCTGTTCAGAGAAAGACTCCAGTGGAAATGGATTTGGCTGAAAAAGGGAAGTGGAATTTGTATAATAAAACATCCTATGGACAAAAATTATTTAGTCTTTCTTTACTGTTTGCACTCCGGACTTAAAATTTCTGAGAACGTGGCTAAGAATCAGGACATATATAAGTAACATCCTCTAATTCATACCTGATGAGTTCCCCCACTCTGAAGATCACCATCAATAAATGCTTAAAAACATTTAGAGAACAGACAGTACCTCAAACCCCAAAGGCTACAAGCTGTTGATTACTATTATGCTCTTTAAAGGGAATAAGATCAACATTGAGCTTCAGATCAAAATATAGATCTTTCTAGGTCACATTTACCAATGATCCATGGGGACATAAATCAATTACATATTTTATTTGTATACAAATCATAAATTAAATGGATGTTCTGCTACCCTACTAAAATGTAATTACCTACAAACGTATACAACACTTTTTGTGTTCCTTCTGACAATGTCATATTCTTCATAGTTACAGGCAGGACATATTTTGAACATTTGGTAAAACACCCATTTAGAGAGTTAGATCTAAAAATCAACATTTGTTCAATAAAAGTTCTCCCAAGGCCTGGGAGAATCACAAACACAAGAATGAAGGAAAAGGTTGTTCAAAGAGGTAATATATCAAATTCCAGAACAGCTTGTTTAGGTCCCTATACCACCTCAGCTGTAACAACTTTTTCATCAACTTCAGTAGGCTTTGGATCAGGCTCCAAGTTGGAATGGAAGCTGATAAAAGTAGGAGTGCACTGGCTGATGCCAACAGGCTTCGAATCAGTCCATTGTCATGAAAGCTGTTTACAACATATGAATAAGTAATCCATGCTGTGCTATATACACTACCTCTCTGCTCAGGATAATTAAGCTAGTGTAGCTTACTGACTCACTGTTTTTACCATTTGCACAGCCAACTGATGTATTGCTGAATATTTTCTAAAACAAATCTTTAAATATTTTTTACATTTAAAATCCAAAGATTTTAGTGGGGTTTATATAAAAAGAAAAAAATACAATAGAAGTTCTCTTCCTCCTACATTAGTTTCTTTTAACCTAAGAGCCAAGCTGATCCTGATGAAACATCTTTACATCAACTGCCCATGTTTCACAGAATGTTTTTCCCTAATTAAGTGAATCAGATATATCATAGTCACATTTATTAAATTTTAATTATTAGGTACATTCTGACACAAAGAAAAATTTAAAGATTTGTTTAATGTCATATCTATATACAGTAGATAATGAACTTATATTCATTAAAGTTACTGATTTAATTCCTTAATTCCTGGAAGTAGATGAGAAACTATGAATACATATGTCAATTCACTTTAATGCTAAAAACACATATTATAAGCAGCAAGAAGTACATTTTTAAAGATCACTTATGAAATGTGCTGGACTTATAATGTCAGATTCTGAACCCCTCTGCTCCTATAAATGATTTACAGAATATAAGGGACTCCTATACAGCTATTGTGCTTGCCTCTTAGAATGGGGACTAAATAAGCAGTTACATCTATCTTAAGGTTTTGCACTATTTTTTTTTTGTAAAATACATACTTAAATTCAACTAATCTCCAGAATGGGCTTCTGCAGAGACTAATGACTAAAATTTCTTAGTTTACACTATGAAACAGGGGCTCACAATGGTCTCTCCTGTCCTAAAAGGATGTAAGTACATTATGAAAACAGTGCTACTGAGTAACAACTATAATATAAAGAAGTTTGTTTTCATGTCATTATAATGATAATTCACACTCATGAGCTAATAGTTCACGTTGCTTTCTATCAAACATATAATAAGGAAACATTGGATGTGGTCCTTCAGAAACATCTGTTGAAGGGGTTTTGGTCACTGCTATTTATAGTTCACAAACCAGCCAACCCAGGAATTCAAGTTAGCAGCTTGAATGCTAAGACAGAATAAGGTCTAGAAAATAAGTCTGCCTGTAGTTCATGAGAGAAGACATGCACAGGGGCAGTTCAGCCCACTGAAGATCTTTGAACAGTGGTCTGTGTACCTGGGAATGATTCCTAACTGCCCATTTCAGATGCTGCCTTGTCTCATATTCCAACTCTGCATCACGTCAGAATCAGGCACATATTATCTCTTCTCCCACTCTCCTCTTTTACTCCAAAAAAGAAATGTGACCACCTTGGTCAGGAGGCACCACAACATGCTCCAACTAGACCTCTGATTTAGACAAAATAATCGTATGGCTTGGACACTTGCCCCACCACACACTCACAGATCCACTAAATGCAGCCTTGGTCCCTAGAAATACTGTCTACAGAAAATGTGCACCTGAACTGGATCCCGTGGGTAAATGCTTGCAACTGGTTGGGATGAATCCAGTCTTTGTAGGTATGGATCTTTGTAGGATGGGATGTTATCCAGAGGAATTCAGACAAGCTCAAGAAGTGGGCCCACAGGAATCTCATATGATTTAACAAGATCAAATGGAAAGTGCTACATACAGGTTGGGACAATCCCCCTTATTGGTACAGGCTGGGAGAAGGAGAAGTACAGGCTACAGAGAAGGACTTGGGGGTGCAGGTGGGTGAGAGGCTGGACATGACCCAGCAGTGTGCACCCCCAGCCCAGAAAGCCAAACGTGTTCTGGGCTGTATCCAAAGCAGTGTGAGCTGCAGGGCAGGGAGGGGATTCTGTCCCTCTTTTCTTGTGAGACCCCACCTGCAGTGCTGCATCAGCTCTGGGGTGCCAGCACAGGAAGGACATGGACCTTGGAGCAAGTGCAGAGGAGGGACACCAAGATCATCAAAGAGATGGAGCAGCTGTCCTGTGAGGAAAGGCTGAGAGGATTTGTTCAGCCCAGAAAAGAGAAGGTCCTGGTGTGACCTAATTGTGGCATTCCAGTACCAGAAGAGAGCCTACAGGGAAGATGGAGAGGGACTTTTTACAAGGGTGTGTAGTGAAAGGACAAGGGGGAATAAGGGGGAATTTATTCAAACTGAAAGAGAGTAGGTCTACATTAAACATGAGGAAAAAAATTCTTTACTGTGAGGGAATGAGGCTCTGGCACAGGCTGCCCAGGGAAGTCATGAATGTCCCATCCCTGGAAGTGTTCCAGGCTGGGGTGGATGGGGCTCTGAGCAACCTGGTCTAGTGCAAGGTGTCCCTGCCCATGGCAGGGGGATTGGAACTAGATGATCTTTAAGGTCCCTTCCAACCTGAGCCATTCTATGATTCTATTAATATAATTGTTTACTAGGAGCAAAGATATGGACATATTCACCTCTAATTCTCTGAAACAGAAATCTTAAATCTGGTATTGCCTAATTTTTTTCTATCATTCTACAGATAGTGACAGAACAAAATGCAACAGTAATATAAAGCAGCGCTATAAGATCTATTTTCCACTACAAAACTCGCCTGCATTTTTAACACTACAAATACAGATCTATATTCAATCCTTCAGAACCCAGCTTGCATTTTGAACATAAATTTGCTTCGCCTTACTCATGGGGAGAAGGAAGAAATCTAATCAAATTCTACTGAGTGTTTTCTCTGCTATAATTTAGTGGTAAAACTGGCAGGCTGCCTAACCACGTCAAAAAAAGATACATTTGAAATGCTGTAACTATAAAATAACAAGGAAGCTTTTAGCCACATTCATGTAGTGGAGAGTATGAAAATGTTTACTTGTAATGTTGTTAGCATATGAAAAGATTAATCTAACAGGAAAATACATTTTAAAGTTGTGAAATTGTCTTGCTTGGTGTATAAATATTTTATGTAAATAAAAGCGGATTTGAGATTCATATAACATTTATATATTTTTAAAACTAAAGGCATAGCAACTGACTCTGCAAGGCATTTTTCAGTAATCCCCTCACTCTGCTATCTCCACTAACGCCTTTATTTGTTTATATTAGCTTTTCCCCTAATGAAGATGGCGCCGGTGGTTCTGTCTGGCTGAGCTGCTGACAGGACACCATCAACTTCCAGGGACGGCATCACTGAGGGGGAGCACTCTGGTTTTCAGCCCAGTGATTCTCATTGCAGGCTAAGGTGAAAGAAAATTGATGCCAAAAACATGAATAAGGAAAGGTGACTTTTCCTCAAGATTGTGACTTGAGAATTCTGAGAAAATCAGGGTGACATATAGGGATGCTGATCTAAGTGCTTCAAATGTCTGAGCTCATTTCCTCAGGTTAGAGTTTTTTTGCCACTTTTTTCATTAAGTTGTCGCCAGAACACAAAAGTCATTTTAGATTGTTGAGGAATTTGAGACAGCTTCTCAATCACATGACAGAGAGGGGCAAAGGGGCCTAAACACAAATGAAAAAACAGACATTCCATTTTTTATTCTGATTCGATTTAATCAGAACTTATTTTTATTCATTTTTGTTATTTGAGACAATTTTAAAGGTGTCCTCCACTCAAGAAACAGAATAGAATGGCCTGGCAGACTAATGGCTAACTAACAATACCAAGTAATTTTCATAGGATGCAGGCAGTTGCTGCCACAACCATCATTCCTACAATCTAAGGGTAGGATTACTTTGTGGAAGAACCTCCACTTTCTACCAAATTTCAAAGCTTTTTCAAAACTTATGGCAGTCAATGAATGTCTGAGTCAAGAGTCAAAGCAAAGACCAGCTATTTTACAGCTTTAGAGGCTCAAA